CCACAATGGCAAAAAACAACGTCAAAGCCTTCAATGCCATATCTCAGAAGATGTAGAAATCACAGAAACTTATATCCTTCAATGACGAATTGATTGATAAAGACGAATTAACTTATATCCTTCAATGACGAATTGTGTAGCAATGGCGACAAGTTGCTGTTGTTGGATTCTTTCAAAAGATTTTTGTTCCCGATAGACCTATGCCTTTCTCACAAGTCAAATAAATCTACTTCGGTTTGTTCTAGCTTTATAAAGAGAGGTCAAAGTCCAAAAATATATTGGCAATTGGTTTGTGAAAAGCAGCAGTAGGGATTTGGTGGAAGAATGGCGGAGTCTAGTTCAAGAGGGTTGGCGCCGGAGAATAGCCCAACATATGGGGGAAGACAATGGCATGTATCAAAGTAGAGAGAGAAAGAAAGTAGTGTAACTGAATAGCGTATTTAGTGGCTTAGGGGTAGGAGGTAACCAAAATTAGATATTTTGCTATAAACATTAAAAGGTATCTATAGAATATAATTTTTTTTAAATTGTATTTATTTAAAATAAATAAGGTGTTAACCTTTGCTATATGAGGTAAAAATTTCTTCTTTTTTTTTTTTGCGTGATTGGCATGCATTTTGTCCACATTACCTATGTCACTGCCACATAAGCATAGTCAACGGTCAAAATGATTTATTAATATTTATTCCTTCAAGTTAAGGTGTTCGAATGAAAAAATTGTAAGTTTGTTTGTTGATTGACAATTGGATACACGTTTAAGTGGTCAGGAGGCCATTTTACCTAAATAAAAAATATATTTTGTGTTAGTTCTAATTATTTAAACTTGTAGACGAGACACTAACTCAATTCATCATGAAATTAGAGTAAAAAGAGATTCAGTGTTCAAATATCACTGTCATCCTCAAAAATCAAAAAGTATTTATTTTATTGAAACTCAATATAATTAAATAATTGAAAGCATTGTTTTTTAGCTTACACTTAAAAGTAAAAAATTCATATATATATATAAAATTGTTTTTTTATTAGGTTATCGACTTTTATATATATATATATATATATATATATATATATATATAAACCTTTGCAGTGCACAAAACTTAAATTCGAACTTTAAATGCAATCTTTTAGCTTGAACTTTATATGGTCACAAACAGCTTCGAACCAAACTTTTTTTCCCTTCAATTTATTAACCAACACGACATTACATTCTACGTACTCATAGATCTCCTAAACCTTAGCAGCATAACATGAAATCAAAACGCAAGCGGGCCGGGTAATAATACAATAGCTTTAACGCCACTGCTAATTAACTGGTTTACTAATTTTCCATCAAGAATCATGGCCATCCGCCGCCGAATCCTCCACCAGTTGATCCGCCACCAAGCCCGGTGCCTCCTCCTCCGCTAAGGCCGCCGCCACTGCCGCCGCCCCCACCCATGCCGCCAGCACCAACACCTGCTCTAATACCAGCACCAACCCCAACCCCAACACCACCTTCAACCCCTGCACCAATGGGCCCCACCCCAATACCTAACTTCCCTCCTATTCCAGCTCCAGCTCCCCCACTAATGGATCCTCCTATACCAAGCCCAGTGTCACCTGTTATATAAACAGAATATTAGTAAGTAAAAACAAAAGCTCAATTTGAAGCGTGAAAATAACTTTTCTTTAGATATATATAATTCCATGTAATGTTCGAGAAAAATACAGACAAGTTCCTTCAAGATGCAACAAAACATATTGCCAAAACCCACTTTTTCTATTTAGAAACTGAAGTGCGTTTATATATAAAGCCTTTAAACTTTTTATTTTTATTTTTAAAAAGCCTTCGAATTGTTTAAACACCACCTGTAGTTCCATTATCTGCAGCAAATCCTCCAATATTACCATTGTCATCTATCGCGCCTTGGTAATCAGACGTGGTCACATTTGCCGCAACAAGAGAAACATTTTCGTTTGACAATTTCCTGGCACCAACAAAAGCTCCTAGTAAGAGGACAGATACAAGTGGTAGAAATTTAGTGAACATTTTCACGAGCATGAGGTTTAAAATTCAAAAGGGATAATATTATACGAGAGTTTTGTGACAAGTGAAGGATTGTAGAAGGGATTTTATAGGAAGTTTGGGCCCGAAGAAGAATCCAAACACCAACCGTTTTCTGTATAATTATTACCATTCATTGTAAATGAGTGCATGAATTTTGTGTGGACATCTGGAAACCATGCACGTAGAAATTCAGTGTTATCATTACAACTTAAAGAACTCTCTGCAACTGTATTGCATGAATAAGAGAACAGGCTCCTCAGAAACATGATGAACAGTACTTAATTCGGACAGGAGAAGGATTTGACTCATCAGCCAATAGTACAGACAAAAGGTTTTGGATGATTTTCGTATGCTAATAACCTACAGCTAGAATCCCAAATTTCTTTATGATCAAATCCATTGAAGGTACAAAATATATTTACAAAATTTTGTCATTTAGAAGATAATAAATTGCATATTTAATAATAACATTAATTGTTAACTTCAAATAAATTGTATGTATACACTAATAGTATGAAAACTCATTATATTTCAGATAAAGTATTATATATACATTGAAAAATATAAATATATTCTGCTACCAGTGTATAACGACCTGGCCGGCCGTTTTGAGAATTAACGCCCCGATCCCCTATAACTGTTTCCCCATATCTATTTTCTGCTATTGTGATTTGCCAGGATGATTCATTTTGAGTTTCAGAGTGATTTGGAACACTTAGTCCCTAATGAGAGCTTAAGTCTTAGAATTTGGACCGCAGTCCGAACAGTGTGAAGACGGCTCCGGAATGAAATACCGTCGATTCTGTTAACTCCGTTGGGTGATTTTGGGCTTAGGGGCGTATCCAAATTGTGTTTTTGAGGTCTGTAGCTCATTTAGGCTTGAAATGGCGAAAGTCAAACTTTTGGAGTTTCAGGCCGATAGTGGAATTTTCGATATCGGGGTCGGAATCCGGTTACGGAAGTTGGAGTGGGTCCGTAGTGTTGAATATGACTTGTGTGCAAAATTTGGGGTCAATCAGACGTGGTTTGGTTGGTTTCGACATCAGTTGTAGAATTTTAAAATTTCAAGTTCATTAAGTTTGGATTGGAGGGTGATTCGTGGATTTAGCGTTGTTTGATGTGATTTGAGGGCTCGACTAAGTTTGTATGATGTTTTAGGATTGGTTGGTACGTTTGGTTGAGGTCTCGGGGGCCCCGGGTGAGTTCGGGTGCTTAACGAATGAAAATTTGGACTTGAGCAAAATCTGAAGTTTGCTGGTTCTAGTGTTTTCGCACCTGCGGTGGGAAGCCCGCAGGTGCGGCCCCGAAGAAGCGAGAAAGGGGTCGCAGGTGCGGTTTGAGGCATGAGGGCCAGTGGTCGCAGATGCGACGTAAGAGCTGCAAAAGCGGAGCCGCATCTGCGGAGGAGTGAGCGCAGGTGCGGCATTTGGGGAGTTAATGAATTTTCGCCGGTGCAGAGCTCTAGCCGCAGATGCGGTCCTATGAGCGCAGAAGCAGAAATCGCTGGACAGAAAAGAGAGAAATCAAGGTTTGAGTTCATAACTCCAAAATTTGATTGAGAGCTCGGTAGAAGGCGAAATTTGGAGAGATTTTCGGGGGAAGTTTGAGGGTAATGATTCCTAACTCCTTTTGATTATATCACGTTAATCTAAGCTTAATTTCATCATTTAATTTCAAATTTGGGGTGAAAAATTGGGAAATATTGAGAAAAATTCTTAGGCTGAATTTTGGGATTTTGATCAAGATTTTGGTACCGAATTTGAGTAAATTTGGTATGGTTAGACTCGTGAGTGAACAAGTGTTCATAATTCGTGACTTTTCCTATTTTCTCACCTTTAGCTTTGTTTTCATTAGCTAAATTAGTTGTTTGTAGCTATATTTACGTTATGTAATTGATTTGATTAGATTTGGGCCACTCGAAGTTGGATACTCGTGGCAAGAACATGATTTCAGATTGATTTGAGCTTGGTTCGAGGTAAGTGGCTTGCCTAACCTTGTGTGGGGGAACTCCCCTTAGGATTTGGTACTGTTGATATATGAATGCCGTGTACGTGAGATAACGAGTGCGTACACGAGCTAATTGTTGAAAACCCCCGTTTTCATTAAGTAAATATCTTTGTTTTCCTTTAATTGAGCAATAATAATATATGTAGCCATCCTGTTTAGCTTAGAAAAACATGCTTACGTGCCTTAACTGTCTTGACTGCCTTAACTGCCTACCTGGACTCTGTGCAGCATGTTTAGAGTAAGAATTACCTGTTTTCTTTGATATGAATTTAATATAAACTGTAGAATTTCTAGCTGAAACTATTATTTATATTGATTGAGCTGTATGTTTACTTTGGGACTACGGGACGGTATCCCCGGAGATCCCTTGTACTGGATATATTTACTTTGGGACTACGGAACGGTATTCCGGGAGATCCCCCTGCACATTTATATTTGGGACTACGGGACGGTATCCCGGGAGATCCCTGTATATTTACGTTTGGGACTACGGGACGGTATCCTGGGAGATCCCCTGTCGCTATCTGTGTACTGAGTTGTTGTTTTTTTGTGATTTTATTTTTGCTGACTGTTAGTATTTATCTTCACTACGATATTTCATACTGTTTTTATCTTATTATATATATATATATATATATATATATATATATATATATATATANTTGTGGTGTTTTTCTGTGATTTCATTCTGTTAACTGTTAGTATTTAATTTTACCGCACTAATTCTTATTGTTTTACTTTATTACATATATATACCAGTAGAGCCCTGACCTGATCTCGTCACTACTCGACCGAGGTTAGGCTTGGCACTTACTGGGTACCGCTGTGGTGTACTCATGCCCTTTCCTGCACATATTTTCCGTGTGCACATCCAGATTCATCGTACCAGCTTCATCACTAGTTGCAGTCATTGCTGCTTGTTGGAGACTTCAAGGTACATTTGCCCGCGCCAGCAGATCCTTGGAGTCCCCCTCTATCCCCTTATGTTCATTTCTCTTTCTTTCTGTAGAGATGATGTATAGAACAATTAGAACATCTTAGTAGCTTGTGACTTGCGAGTTTCCGGGTTTTGGGTATTATTCGGTACTTTTTCTGAAGTTATAACTGTATATGCCGAGTGGCATTTAGTTGCTTAGTGGATAGTTGTGTTGCTAATAGTTAATATTCATTTATTTGTTTTCATTTCTGCAATGTATTAGGCTTACCTAGTCGTAGAGACTAGGTGCCGTCACGAAAGTTCATGGAGGGAGGATCGTGACAAGTTGGTATCAGAGCTCTGGGTTCATAGGAGTCGTAAGTCACAAGCCGATTTATTAGAGTCTCGCAGATCGGTACGGAGACATTTGTACTTATCTTCGAGAGGCTATGGAAATGTTAGGAAAATTCCACTTCATTTGATTCCTTGTCGTGCGAGATTATTGACTTCGAAATTCTAAACTTCTGTTTTCTATTCTCTCAGAGATGGTGAGGATACGTGCTACCGGAGATGACCAGGCACCCGCGCCCCCTGCTAGAGTCGCCAGAGGCCGGGGCCGAGGTAGAGGCCGAGGACGTGAACGTGGTGTAGTCAGAGCACCCGCGCGAGCTGCTACAGAGGAGCCACCAGCAGCTCCAGCCGGAGTCCAGGCGCCTGATACGCCTACTACTACTACTCCAGCTCTCCAGGAGCCCCTTGCATAGTTCATGAGCATGTACAACACTTTAGCTCAGCCAGGGTTGATTCCCCATTGCTGCAGCCGCATCTCAGGCAGGGGGAGGAGCACAAACTCGCGCCGCCCATACCCCAGAGCAGCGGGTTCAGGTTGATCAAATTCTAGAGGTTATACTGCTACCGCCTGTAGCCCCAGCTCAGCCCGAGGGTAAGGCAGCAGCTTTAGAGGAGGAGCAGCGGAGACTTGAGAGGTACAAAAATTTCGACCCTCCTACATTTAGTGGTCTAGCATCAGAGGATGCTCAGGGATTTCTAGAGGAGTGCCACCGTATCCTTCGCACTATGGGCATAGCAGAGTCGAGTGAGGTTTCTTTCACTTCCTTCCAGCTTCAAGGGGCAGCCTATCAGTGGTGGCGTACTTTTGAGTTGGACGGTTCGGCTGAGGCAACTTCCCTTACATGGACCCAATTCTCGGATATGTTTTTGAAGGAGTATGTCCCTCAGAGCCTCAGGGACGCATGGGGCGCGGAGTTTGAGCATTTGCGCCAGGATACTGATTGTTTCAGAGTATGCTGTCCGCTAAACATGCACAGGCCTTGGTTTCTACTGTTCGTGAGAGAGTTCGCCAATTTATTGAGGGGCTCATTCCCAGCATCAGGTCTAGCATGGCCCAGAAGTTAGAGATAGATATCGCCTATCTTCAGGTGGTGAGTATTGCTAGGAGAGTAGAGGGCATACTTGCTCTGGATAGGGAGGAGAGAGAGGCCAAGTGGTCTCGAGAGTCGGGGCATTATTCTGGTGCCCGTGCCCCAGCTGCAGTTCGTCATGGTAGGGGTTATGTGAGTCGCCCCGTTCATTCAGCTCTTTCAGCAGCCAGCGGTATTCCAGCTCCTCCTAGACCTCAGGAGCCTTATTATGCACCTCCAGTATCTAGTGCGCCTCCTGCACAGGGTGTTTTCAGTGGTCAGTCCAGCAGACCTGGCCCGAGCCAGTCACAACCTCCACGCCCTTCCAGAGCTTGTTTTGAGTAAGGCGACACCCGCCAGATGGTGAGGGATTGCCCTAGACTTAGGAGGGGTGCACCTCCACAGACTTCTCAGCCATAGCGTGCTCCACAACAGAGGTGGACCCAGGATTTGAGAATGACGAGGGCACCATTATCATTAGAGTGAATTACCCCATTGACCCGCGAACACAAACTTCAACTTCATCATACTCCCAAATTGACCTACGAACACAAATTTTAAAATAAGTATTCCAAAAAAAAAAATCTTGCACATCCTTGCGCACACATGAACTAAACTGGAATAAACTTTAAAATGTAAAACAAGGTTAGTGCCCTTAATAGCAATCCGTGACATACAACAGTAATCTACTGTTGTCCCAAAAAAGAGAACTAAAGAAGGCACAACTTAAATCAAAATACAAACTTCAATATTATAGAATATCTTTAATTGATACTAATATAACAAAAGTACAACATCCACTTATACTTGAACTCGACGCGTTCTCATACTCTAAAAACGGTCAATAATAGCATCATTGCTTACATTTTCAAATACTTCTTTTTCAAAGTAACAACCTAAACAATCATTTAAAAATGCATCACCAATACTACTACGCAATTCATCCTTGATGTATTTCATGGATGAGAATGCTCTTTCTACCGTTGCAGTCGCGACAGGTAAAAATAGAGTCAACTTCACAAGTAAATAAACAAGTAAATATGTCTCCACAAGATTTGCTTCAACCAAAGCTTTTTCCAAATCACCAATTCCTTTCAAATCCGAGAATCTAGGGTCACCATGTTTCATGTGCAATATGAAAGTGTCAAGTTGGTGACTAAGATCTCGAAGCTTCAATTCACCAAACTCATCTGTATAATACTTGGTCAATGTCATTATTCTTTCCTTATCAAAATTGGCAAACGAATTAGCCGGATTCAAGCTAGCCATACCAAGAAGCAAGTTACCACTAACAACATCAATACGGCTGTTAAGATCCTGAAGTTGCAAATCAATCACTGTATAAAAAAGCTCAACACGTAAGTGATGTGAATAAGTAACACTAGAAGGCCTACGCTTCGACTTTCCAGAAATATAGAATTCTTCCATATTGGGCACCAAAATGTCATGTTTAGCACAAAACAAAGAGACTTCATACATTAATGATTTCCATCCTTCCTCTCTCATTTGTTGCAACCTTTCCTTTGTAAGGTCAAGAAATATCATGGCATTGACAATATCTTGCTCTTTCTTCTGTAAAGCTTTACTCAGCTTGTTAGACATCAACAGTACCTTCAACATCAAGTGAAGCATGAACACAAATTCAAATGAATTGATTTTACTCAAAAAAGCTTCTGCTTGCAATCTATCATTAGCCTCAGAACCTTCATATTCAATCACCCCAAGCACATGAACAATAGATGCAAATAAAACAACAAAGTTATCTAATGTTTTACAATGTGATCCCCAACGAGTGTCACCTGGACTTTGAAGCCCTCGTTCTTGATTTAATCCTTTCCCACTTTGAACTTCACCACTCTCTAGCAACCGCTCCAATAATTCTGCTTGATGGTCCCGAAGTTTATCTCTACGTTTAAAGGATACTCCAATCACATTCAACACATTAGCAACTATAGCAAAGAAAGTTTCCACCTCCTTATGTTTTTTACCAACCGCTACAAGCGTCAACTGTAATTGATGAGCAAAATAATGTATGCAATGTGATGAAGGAGTTCTTGCAAAATTAAAGCTTTAAGACCATTCATTTTTCCTTGCATATTACTAGCTCCATTATAGCCTTGTCCACGTATTTTGAATGGACTTAATGAGTGTTTCATAAGCAAAGAAAGTATTGCTTCCTTCAACGACTTTGCAGAGGTATCACCAACACGAACAAGACCAATAAATGGCTCGTTCACTTGGCCTTTTTTGTCAACATAAGGGCCATTTGTTCATGGTGTGAAATATCCTTGGACTCATCAACTAATATCCCGAAATAATCCCCATCTAAATCATTGATTATAGCTTTCACGGTTTCTTGTGCACAAGCACTCACAATGTCCTTTTGAATTTTTGGCGAAGTCATCATATCATTTTTTGGAACATGTTTCAATATGACTCTATCCACTTGAGGGAGCCTCTTGGCAAACCATTCCAAAAGCCCTATGAAAAGGCCTTTGTTTTTTGAAGAATCACTTTCATCATGACCTCGAAAAGACAATCCAAAGTACAAGATGAACCTTGCAACATCGATTGATGTATTTAAACGAATTCGGTGCTCATTTCTTTGTTTCTCAGATTGCTTATCAAAAGCAACTTGAATTGATTGAGATTGATTTGATAAGTCTAACATCTTGTTGAAACACTTGTGGTGGAGGCTATTTACTTGACCAACATGTAAAGGAAGTCTTTCCGAAGCTTTATTCCAAGCCTTAAAGCCCGTTTTTGTGAAAGAGTCACCCGTGCTTCCATGAACATAATTATTTTTGAATAAATAACAACATAAAAAAATGCGGCATCTTTCTTCACACTATAATCCAACCATCTAGAATACGAAACCTTTAAACCAACCCGGACTAAATTGACGCATTTTATTACCGAATAAAGTTTTAGGAAACTTATGATCAACCGGTTGGCAAGGTCCATTGTGAATGTAGTGTCTTCTTACCTCATCCCATATTCTAGGACTATAGTTATCAATGGATACTCTCTCTCCAGGATCGGGATTGAGTAATTTCTCGTCAAACTCATCTATAAGATGGGAGGAATTATTTCTAAAATTCGTCAAAAATACGTCCATCTCAATTCATAAGAACAAGAACTTCCTACAAAAAACGAGTCCAGTAAATTTAAGAGTCTATCAAGAATACAAACAAACACAATATCAATAGAGCAATCACACCCCTTTATCAAGAATAAAACAAATACTACAACTTATTGAATCTAATACTACAACTCTTTTGTGAAGACATTTTATGGGATAACTTGAGAAATCTTATTATAGGGTCTTAAACTATTTTCTTACCAAACTGGAGCATTTCATAGCATTCTAAAATTACCGAAATTACTTTTTGGTTCACTTAGAACTAAATATAATCTTCCCACTCTGAAGGAATATAATATTGTCCCAACTCTTTGTCTCTCGCAGAATGTGACAAAAAATCAGGTGCACATTTTGTTTGATTATTCAAAAATGATAAAAAGCTAACAGAGTCATAGCGAGGTAGTGAAACAACTGATGAAACTTAAATGCTTACTATTTTATAGAGTAATAACTATAAAATCACACTCAAGTCCCTCTAAGAAATTCTTCAATTAAAAAAAATCAACAGCAAGTTTCAAAGTAAGAGAAGCTTTAAGTTATAAATAAAAAATAAGTTTCAAAGTAAGAGAGATACTAACCAGAGATTGAGGAAGAAGGGTTCTCTAATTTGAAGTGAGAAGTGACGGAGGCGGACTGGTGAAGGCGAGCTTTGATTTTTGATTGAGGAAGAACGGAAGAAGTGAAGAAGAAGAACTAGAGAGGGGGATTGCCGTCTGCCGAAGTGAAGAAGAAGATGTCGTTTGGGGCTTTTGATGTTTGGGAATTGGGGATTTTGGATGTTTAGGGCTTTTGACTATTATTTAATTATTAAAAATTCAAAATATAATTGAATTGAGAATAGGTGAAATAAAAAATTATTAATTAATCAACTATTGACTAGTGACTAATAAATAGTACAATTGTACTAAGTAAAAGAAACTTTAAAAAAATTGTAGCAGCGAGTTTCGAACCTGTGTCGTGTGACAAGGAGCAGGGCTTATGCTTAGAAGCGGACCATTGCTCTATGTGTAATTTCGTTAATGAGGGGGCCAAGAAAAATATTTAAGGGGTCCTCAACGTATATACAGCTATACATCGAATATGTATATACAGAGTTTTTGCAGAAGTTAACGGGTTCACGTGACCCCTCAAGGACTGTTGTAGGTCCGCCTCTGCTCCACAAAGTTCCCAGGCTATGATCACAGCACCAACTGCCACCCCACCTACCCAGCCAGCTAGAGGTGGAGGTCGGGGAGGTAAAGGTCGCCCTAGAGGGGGAGGCCAGGCCATATACTATGCCCTTCCTGCCCTATAGAGGTTGTTGCTTCTGATTCTGTCATTACAGGTATTATTCCGGTCTGTCATAGAGATGCATCAGTTCTATTCCAGGCTCCACTTATTCCTATGTGTCTTCTTATTTTGCCTCGTATTTGGGCATATATCGCGATTCTTTGAGTTTTCCTGTTTATGTGTCTACTCCTATGGGGGATTCTCTTGTTGTGGACCGCGTTTATCGGTCCTGTTTGATTGCTCTTAGTGGTTTTGAGACCAAAGCCGATTTATTATTGCTCAGCATGGTAGATTTCAATGTTATCTTGGGCATGGACAGGTTGTCTCCCCATTATGTTATTCTTAATTGTCACGCCAAGACCGTGAAGCTGGCTATGCCAGGTTTACCACGATTAGAGTGGAGGGGTACTATAGATTACACTCCCAGTAGAGTTATTTTATTTCTTAAAGCTCATCGAATGGTTGAGAAGGGGTGTAATGCGTATTTAGCTTATGTGAGAGATGTTAGTATTGATACCTTTATAGTTGATTAAGTCCCAGTAGTGTGGGATTTCCCTGATGTGTTTCCAGCTGATCTTCCGGGCATGCCCCCCGACAGAGATATTGATTTTGGCATTGATTTGTTGCCGGGTACTCATCCCATCTCTATTCCTCCTTATCGTATGTCTTCTCCTGAGTTGAAGGAGTTGAAGGAACAGTTACAGGAATTGCTTGATAAGGGTTTTATCCGGCCTAGTGTGTCACCTTGGGGTGCTCCTGTCTTGTTTGTGAAGAAAAAGGATGGTTCTATGCGTATGTGCATTGATTATCGCCAGTTGAACAAAGTTACAGTGAAGAACCGGTATCCTTTGCCTCGTATTGATGACCTATTTGATCAATTACAGGGTGATCGAGTGTTTTCCAAGATTGATTTGCGTTCAGGTTATCATCAGTTGAAGATTTGGGAGCCAGATATCCCGAAGACTGCTTTCAGGACTCGATATAGTCATTACGATTTCCTTGTTATGTCTTTTGGGTTGACCAATGCCCTAGTAGCATTTATGCATTTGATGCACAGTGTATTCCGGCCATATCTTGACTCGTTCATCATTGTCTTTATTGATGACATTCTGGTGTACTCCCGGAGTCGGGAAGATCATGAGCAGCTCCTGAGGACAGTGCTTCAGACCTTGAGGGAAAAGAATTTATATGCGAAGTTCTCTAGATGTGAGTTCTGGTTGGATTCCGTGGCATTCTTGGGTCATGTAGTATCTAGTGAAGGGATCAAGGTGGATACGAAGAAAGTGGAAGCAGTGCAGAGTTGGCCCAGACTGTCCTCAGCTATAGAGATCTGTAGTTTTCTTGGTTTGACGGGTTATTACCGTCGATTTGTTGAGGGGTTCTCATCTATTGCAGCACCTATAACCAAGCTGACCCAGAAGGGTGCTCCGTTCAGGTGGACGGAAGAGTGTGAGGAGAGCTTCCAAAAGCTCAAGACAACTTTGACTATAGCCTCAGTACTGATATTTCCTACAGGTTCGGGGTCTTATACAGTCTATTATGATGCGTCGCGAGTTGGCCTCGGCGCGGTGTTGATGCAGGACCGTAGGGTGACTGCCTACGCGTCCAGACAGTTCAAGGTGCATGAAAAGAACTATCTTGTCCACGACCTTGAGTTAGCTGCTATTGTTCATGCATTGAAGATTTGGAGGCACTATTTGTATGGCGTCCCTTGTGAGATCTACATTGATCGCCGGAGTTTGCAGCATCTGTTCAAGCAGAAGGATGTTAATTTGCATCAGAGGAGGTGGTTAAAGCTGCTTAAGGATTATGATATCACTATTTTGTACCACCCGGGAAGGCCAATGTGGTGGCTGATGCTTTGAGTTGCCGGGCAGAGAGTTTGGGGAGTTTGGCCTATCTACTAGCAGCAGAGAGGCCCATGGCGATGGATGTTCAGGCCTTAGCCAGGCAGTTTGTGAGATTGGGTATTTCTGAGCCTGGTCGAGTATTGGCTTGTGTGGTCTCTCGGTCTTCTCTTTGTGATCGCATCAGGGAGCGTCAGTATGATGACCCCCATCTGCTTGTCCTGAAGGACACGGTTTAGCACGGTGATGCTAAGGAGGTCACGATTGGGGATGATGGTGCTTTGAGGATGAAGGGCAGGCAATGTGTGCCTAATGTTGATGGTTTGCGTGAGTTGATTCTTCAGGAGGCTCACATCTCGCGGTACTCTATTCATCCGGGTGCCGCGAAGATGTATCAGGATCTGAGGCAGCATTATTGGTGGCGTAGAATGAAGAAGGACATGGTGGAGTATGTTGCTAGGTGTTTAAATTTCCAACAAGTGAAGTGTGAGCATCAACGACCGGGTGGATTGCTTCAGAAGTTAGAGATTCCGGAGTGGAAATGGCAGCGGATCACTATGGACTTCGTTGTTGGGCTCCCACAGACTCAGCAGAAGTTTGACGCAGTTTAGGTAATTGTAGAAAGGCTGATCAAGTCAGCTCATTTCCTTCGTGTGATGACTACCTATTCTTCTGAGCAGCTGGCTCGAGTTTATATCCGTAAGATCCTCGGGCTTCATGGCGTGCCAGTATCTATCATCTCTGACCGGGGCACACAATTTACATCACGATTCTGGAGAGCCGTACAGCATGAGTTGGGTACTCGGGTGGAGTTGAGCACAACATTTCACCCCCAGACGGACAGACAGTCCG